CCCACAAAAAACCTATTTTATAATAATTTTCTCATTCATCCACAGCAACTCTAAACCAGGATCAACTCAAGACATTTTGCTGCCTAGGATGAAGCAACTACTGGTATCCTCCTCAAACTACACAGTTCCCAAAAACAACAATTTGTTTTGGTGAAACAATAAAATTAATAAGTAGCACATTGCTGCCTTTTCATGATCCCTCAAATCTGCTGCCTGAGGTGGCTGCTTAATTCTGTCTAATGGTTAGACCAGGCCTGCTGTGAGCAGATCACTGCATCCCTTATCCACACGGGCAGAAAAAGTCTAAAAGGCTTCAGAGCAGCCAAACCACCAGCCCAGATTAGACTTTTTGTCTTTTCCCCATTCTCTAAGCTTTATATTTTCATGATTCATAAAGAGCTCTAGGAGAAGATCACATCACCTTTGCATCACTTTTGTTACCATTTTAGTGGTTCTAATAAATGGTCCTAATAAATGGATGTGGACACAGAAGAAGGAGGAGTGAAAATAGGAGGAAGGAATATCAACTATCTAAGATATGCAGATGACACCATAATACTAGCAGAAAACCTCACAGACCTAGAACAACTACTAAGGAAGATCAAAGAAGAAAGTGCAAAGGTAGGCTTAATGCTGAACATAAAGAAAACAAAAACAAGAACCACTGAGGACCTACACAAGTTCAGCCTAGACAATGAAGAAATAGAAATAGTAAAAGAATTCCCATACCTGGGATCGAACATTGATAGAAATGGGGACTGCAGTCAGGAAATCAGAAGAAGACTAAGAATGGGGAGGTTGGCTGTGAAAGAACTAGAAAAGATCCTAAAATGCAAAGATATACAACTCAGCACAAAAGTTAGAATCATACAAGCCATTGTATTCCCTATTACCATGAATGGATGTGAGAGCTGGACAGTCAAGAAAGGTGATAGAAAGAAAATCAATGCATTTGAGATAATGTGGTGGTGGAGAAGAGTGCTGAGGATCCCATGGACAACCAAAAGGACAAACAAGTAGGTCCTAGAGCAGATCAAG